AGTACTTCCTTTTGTTTTAAACCTGCTGCCTATTAATTTAATAGGGCGACCCCTTGTGTTATGTGAAGGGGTAAATTACACTTACTTTCCCCACACCACTCATGATTTTGTAGACCTGTGTCATTCTCTCCTGGAGTCGTCTCCTGTCCAAGCTGAACAGTCCTGGTCTTTTTAATCTCTCCTCATAAGGTCAAGGGCTGCTTACATAGCTATCTTTAGGGTGCTCGTGTGAACCCCACAAGCCTGAGTCTGTTGGCCCCGGGCTGGGAGTCTTCTTCCAAAATGCAGTGTAAGCATACGAGAGCAGTGGGGGGATGTCCAGGAACTGCCCGGCTGTAGTGCCTAGCTGGCGGCTCATCCCCGCTACAGGCTGCCGGGCAGCTTCCCTGATTCTCCGGTGCACAAACTTCTCAGAATGACGGGTGGAGCAGAGCTTTGCTTATTGCCATCTGACGGTATATATCACTTAGCCTGGAGGCGATTGCTTGGCTATTGGAAGAGGAATTCTCTTCATGTCAGTCCCCCCCACTCTTCCCCCCTCCCTGCCCCTTACTCCAGCCCCTGGAGTAGGTGGGGGAAGGGCAGAGGTGCTCATGAAACAGAATGCAGATGGAGGGATTTAAACTTCTCAGGCTGTGATGCTGCTTGGCTGGGCTCCCCTCTTGAGCTTGTGCTCCAGAGAATGTCCAGCATCGGGGCTTCCCCCGGCCTTGTACATTTCCTAATGCAATAAGATCTGCCAGTGTGACCTCTAGCCCTGTATCAGGGCTTAGATCCTGGCAGGGCATGGACTCTGATCCAGGAGGTGTGCCCCATCTCCTGGCTTGGCAGACGTGGCTTTGAGCTTCATGGGAGTCTAGACTCCTTGGGGTCCATTCCCAACTCTGCCGTTGACACAGCAAGTCACAGCAATTCCCCATGCCTCAGTTTCCCCCGCTGCAAAAGGCGCGGTGGGCGGGTAGGGATGATGATTATCCACTTTTGTAAAGAACTCTTTGGGTAGAGATGGTCAAATATGTGTCTGCAAAGTGCCTCGCACCAGCGGAGTAGGAAACCAGCTCCCCACCCTGAGAAGCAGGCAATGTCTAGCTGAAGGATGGAAGGTGAGATGGTGGCTAGGCTGCAGGACTGGGAGTCGGCAGACCTGGGTTCAAGTCCCAGCTCTGCCACTGACCTGCTGGGGGATCGAAGGAGAGTCACTACTCTGTGGGGCAGGGAGTCTCACTCTATATGTACAGTGCCCAGCACATTGGGGCCCTGCTCTAGGTTTTGGGGACCTCTAGGTGCTACCATAATATAGCTAACAAGGCCAGACAAAAAGCTGCTGATATTTAGCACAAGGGTCTTGTTAGTTCTGTGTTCTTTGTTTTGTTACCCTTGGACTAGGGTTCATTGGCCTCATGGAAGAATGGGGGCTTGGAGGAGAAGAGAATAGACTGTGGAGCTGGTCTATTTTTGGGCTCGGCTCTGGGGATTAGTCCACAAAACTTGACCCATCTTCATCTGCCTGCCACTGATTTGACTCTGAGAGTCTGATCTCCCATTTGCACTGCTGTAATTCCAGAGTTGCTCCGTTGACATAAGTGGAGTGACTCTGGATTAAAGCCAGTGCCTGAGGCCTTATCTATGCTACGGGTGCCACGGCACCAGAGCTATGCGGCTGTAGGGCTGTAGTGTAGATGCTTCCTACGGTAAAGGGACCGTTGCTGTAGGAAGTCCAACAGGCGAAGTGAAAAGGAGTACTTGTGGCACCTTAGAGACTAACCAATTTATTTGAGCATAAGCTTTCGTGAGCTACAGCTCACTTCATCGGATGCATACTGTGGAAAATACAGAAACCATGAAAACACACAAACCATGAAAAAATGGGTGTTTATCACTACAAAAGGTTTTCTCTCCCCCCACCCAAAACCTTTTGTAGTGATAAACACCCATTTTTTTCATGGTTTGTGTGTATAAAAACATCTTCTGTATTTTCCACAGTATGCATCCGATGAAGTGAGCTGTAGCTCACGAAAGCTTATGCTCAAATAAACTGGTTAGTCTCTAAGGTGCCACAAATCCTCCTTTTCTTTCTGCAAATACAGACTAACACAGCTGTTACTCTGAAACAGGCGAAGTGTAGACCAGGCCTGAGAGCAGAACCTGACCTTTAGCCTCAAGGCCAGGCTCGTTTCTGGCATTGTCGGGGGTGACTTGGCTCTTCTGAGGAGCAGAATTAGCTTCTCCCTTGGGCATGGTTGATTCTCTTGGACTGCAGAAAAGGCCAGTGTGTCTGTCAGGCCCCAGATGGATTCCCCTGGCATCGGGTGTTGGCTTACGAGCTCCAGGCTAAAGCGGGCGAGTGGATTTCTGTAGGTGAGTAACAATTGTGACTCCTTTTCTCCTGCCTCTCCCTTAGGAACCCAACAGGCCAGCTCCTGCTGTGTATATTCCAGGCCCTGCATAATCACTTGGCCCCGGAGACAGGTGTGGGATTTCACAAATCATTAGTAGCGCTTACAGCAGAGTGGATTTTGCAATTGAAAGAGCCTCTCACTCCCGGCTCCACTTGCAGAGCTGTGAGCAAGCTGTGGGTTTGCTTCAGTGCCCTGGGTTTAATCATCCAGGTATCTAGGAAGGGGTTAGCTGTGAAGGTGGATCGGGAGATGCCTAGGTCCGTGCCCGTTGTCTCTGCTTTGCTGCCCCAAGGAGTCTTGCGTGGCGGGGGGGTGTTTGTGATTAGTTGATTGGCTGATGGATGACGCTGGCCACCGAGCTGAGTTTGGGTCTGCTGAAGACCGCTTGGGCCTGGTGTCCAGGGGTGCTGAGCACCCTCAGCCTTCATTGGCTCCCCTTGGAGCAGGGGGGGCACTCAGACTTTGGGTCTGTCCTTTAGCAACGTAGAACTGCCCAGCGCTTATGCGGTGGAAAGGGGATGGGACTGAGAGTTGGGAGAGCTGGATTCTTCTATTCCAAGCTCTGCTACTGACGGTCTCTGCACCCTCGGGCAAGTGCTGTCCCTTCTGTTCCTCCATTTCTCTCTGGGCCGGGGGGAAGGGGAATGGTGCTTCATGAAGCTCCTTGAGATCCTCAGATGGGAGGTGCTCTAAGGATGCTAAGTGTAGCTCCTCGTAACCACAAGTAGCCTTGTGTAGTAGGTAAATGCAGGATGGGAAGAGTGGTGTTGCTCTTCCAACTTCCAAGGACAAACAGAGCCCGGGAGAATCTCTGATTCCCAAGGAGTCCTGGGTGAACCACAGCTCGTTCCACAAATTTAGCCGTTTTAGTCCATCCATGAGCAGCCATTTTTTTTAAAAAAGAAAAGGAGTACTTGTGGCACCTTAGAGACTAACCAATTTATTTGAGCATGAGCTTTCGTGAGCTATTGGTTAGTCTCGAAGGTGCCACAAGTACTCCTTTTCTTTTTGCAAATACAGACTAACACGGCTGTTCCTCTGAAACCTGTCATTTTTTTTAAACCCTTTTTTCTTTTAATAGCTGGATTTGTGGGTTACTGTTGACAGATGGGTTCCGTGGGGCTGGTTCAGCCTGTGGGTCCCTCCTCAGGTTGGAGCAGACTGGGGGGGGAAAGTGGGAATGGGGCTGCTATCTGGATCCACTAACAGTGTGCCCTGCCGAGACTGCTGCAGTTCTTCTCAGGCCACTGTGGCTTCTTCCTTCCTTGAACCTCCTGGTTGACTTAGGTTGGGGAGGGCAGGGAATGGGCCCCTTCTCAGACATGGAGTGAATGCAACCCGACTGCATTTAGGGGTTTCCCTCTGCTCCGGGGTGCGAGCTGTGTGTGTGTCCAGGATTCTGCTCAGAATGAGCCCAGAGTGATTAAGGCTGTTTCGGTGTGTGGGAGAGGGGCACTCCCTAGATGATCTGCACCGGGTAGATCTCTGTTCCACCTGCACTGATTTGATTGTATTCTACATAGGCAGGCTTGGCAGAATTCGATTTTTATTTTTCTCTAACTTTGATGGATAAGATCAATGTTTATTTGTAGCAGTTGTTTTGTTCACAGTTGTACGAGATGATGCATTTTTAACAAATTTTATCCTTTTAAATGTTCACAGTTGCAAGATGTTATGGGGGGGGGGGGTCAGACAGTACAGGGGAGAACAAGAATTATTTAAGAAGGGTAGAGACGGAGATTCAAAAAGTTACAGCTTTATAACTGTTAAATCACAAATTGTCAATATCACGTGTCCAGATGTACAAAGTAAATATCCTTAAATCAAACTCTCAGAAGAATGCTGCTTGAGAACACACAGAATTTTACAGATAGGTCAGTAATTATTATCGATGGAAATAACTTTTTCTTAGTTTGTGTGCATGTACGGCGAAATAGACGTTTACCAATAAAAATCAAACCCCTCCAAGCCTGAACCTTGGTTTTCATACCACACTCCTCACTGTAGTATCTGAGTGCCGTCCAACAGTACCTTTAGCAACATGGTAAACAGCTGTCATATGTTTGTTCTCATCCTTCCTCCAGAGGGAGGAGCGTGGGAAGTGGACTGCCAAGTTTTGGTTGTGTTTTTTTATTTTGTATTGGTTAAATAAATATACCTGTTGCTCTGTGTTTCTGTTAGAGAGGGCAAAGTCAAAACCAGGCACTTTTGGCGCTTCGAGCGGAAAGTGGTGAGGTTTGGGACGGTCCTTAGGCTCTGTCTCTGCTACAGTGCTGTTGTAACGTTGTAGTATGGACACCTCCTACATGGACGGAAGGGGTTTGCTGTCGCTTCGTTAAACCACCTCCACGAGAGGTGGTAGCTAGGTGGTTGGAAGAATACTTCCGTCAACCTGGCTATGTTTACCCTGGGGTCATAGGCACCGACTTTTACTGGCACCGGTGGGTACTCTATCTCCCCCCCCCCCCCCTTGGCCCTGCCGCGACTCCACCCCTGCCCTGCCCCTCCTGCCCCCAGTCTAACCGCTTCCCCAAAGTCCCCACCCCAACTCTGCCCCCTCCCGCCACCATTCCAACCCCTTCCCCAAATCCCGGCCCTGCCTCCTCCCGAGCAGGCCACGTTCCCGCTCCTCCCCCCTCCCTCCCGGAGATTGCTACAGCTGTTTGGCGGAGGCAAGAGCTGGGAGGTAGGCGGAGGAGGGGGTAGGGCGGGGAGCTTGGCTGCCAGTGGGTGCAGAGCACCCACTCATTTTTCCCCGTGGGTGCTCCAGCCCTGGAGCACCCACAGAGTCAGCACCTATGCTGGGGGTAGCTTGGTTGCTCCAGTACAGACCAGGTGCTCGGTTATGGGAGGAGTTCACTCCACAGCCTTGGACCACCCCGAAGAAGGTTCCGTCTCCCGCACGGACAAGCTTTATTCTTATTGTCGAGGATTCCATTGTACCAGAGGAGCGGAGTTGTCAACCACGGTCCTGCAGCGCTAACCGGTCTGTTCACGGCCTGGGCCCAGGATGGGGAGCGCTTTGAAGATAAGGACTGAGCCCAGTTGAAAGGGAATAGCCTGACTTCCACTGTATTGTTTCCCCTCTAGTTCTTCTTCTGGCAGTCGCAGGAATGGGGGGAATAGGAGAGTTGCAATGCAACATCTCCCATTTCCCAAGGCGCGGGAACTGATGCATGAGGCCACTTGGCCGCTCCACTGAGAAACCACAACCTCTCCTGCTCCTGGCGGCCTGTGCCCAAACTCCCCAGCGGAGGGGAATTAGCTGTCGAACACGTTCTGCCCACACCCACCCCTGTCTGATTTACTGTACGGGAGAGGTGGTTGAGCAGCAGGAACCTGGCTGACGAGCACGGAGGCTGAGGAGGGAGTCTCTCGGGGGGCCTTCGAGGTCACCAGTAAATCTTTGAGTCAGTCCTTTCATCAGCAGCTGTGGTGAAGCTTGGAGGCGGAGTGCCGCTGGTGGGAAAGCCCCACGGATGTGGACAGCTCCGAGTCACAAACGGTGGCAAGGGTAAGTTTCTTGCCAGCAAAGGTTGCCCCTGCCCCTGCGCTGCAAGAGAGTTATTCAGCTGGTAGATGGGCCCTCAGCCTCAGAATTTAGGTTCCTAAATCCTACTGGCATCAATGAGAGTTAGGTGCCTGAATACTTTTGTGGATCTGGGCCCAGGGTGTTTTCCCCTTGAATAGGGTGTGAGAGTCCCACTGTCACTAAAGTTCACAATGTTTTATCTTTCTCGACCACCCTGTCGTCCTTAAAGATCCCGAAGGGCTTTTCCAGAATCGCTTCATGCCCTGCTAAAATGCAGCTCTTTGCAGACTGGGGCGCAGCCGCTGCGTACAACAGCACACAGCAAGGCGCTGGGAGAGGGAGTGAAGAAGAATGCTGTATCCATTTGAAACTGCAAGCTGGAAGGGGGCTCTAGGCAGGCCGGAGTGTGGACTCTACCAAGGACATCAGTTAATGATGAGAGTGGTAGCTAGGACTTTCTAGCACTTTGTATTCTGAAAGCCCTTTACAAACCTAATCCTTGCAGTGAATGATAACGAGTCTCCATTTTACAGATGGTGAAATGACTGGCCCAAGAGCTAGGATTGTAAGCCAGGGTTCCCTGCGCCCCGTCTTGTGCTCCATCCACTAGGCCACGCTGCCTCTGGGTATAACTTCCCCGTGCTCTTGTGACAAGTACCCCCGGGACCTTTAAAGCACACAAGTGGTTGTGGCTTGGGATCACCTCTGAAAAGTGGCACCTCCTGCATCTTGGGGCATCTGGCCCAGTTCTTGAACCAGCCAGGCCTGTCTTTGCATAGCCTGTGAGCTCTAGATGCCAGAGGGGGAATGGCTGCGCACCGCAGCTGGAGCTGTGAAGTTTGAGCTGTTTAATGGCTTACGTGACCCGATGAGTTCTGAGCTGCTCAGAATTGGAAGCGGTTTTGTGGATTCCAGTGGGTGTGCGGGAATCTAGCCTCCTGGTTCGGTCCTTGCGCTCTCATCGAGAACAGCATTTTGCTTCCTCTCCTGGGTCACGGGCATGAGTTACAGAGCCGCAAGTCAGTTACAACAATATCATGCCAATGCTTCTGTATCCCTCCCGCCATCCTTCTCTGGGCATGGTGAGGAGAGAAAGAGCTACCTGGAAAGCTATAGGTCGGAAGGCTTCATATGGCGGCGATCCATAACCTTGCTCCACAGTGACCAGCAGAAACACTTTTCCTTTTAACCCTCATTCCTGGTGGGATGGGGTGATTGGCTGCGGATTCAGAAATGTGGGTCATCCCTGATCTCCTTGGGGCAGGGACTCTCTTTTTGTTCTTTGTGCATGCAGCACCTAGTGCAGTGGGGTCCTGGTTCATGACTAGGGCTTCTGGGCACTATGATAGACAGATGATAATTATAATGATCTCTAATGACCGCAAGGCAGAAACTGCTCACGATCTCGAGAGTTCTGTAGCTCCCCTGAAAGAGGTAAAGGGCTGGGGAGGGGATCGTCCGGCCAAGCATAACTGAGCTCGTGGCTGAGAGAAGGGAGAAGGGCTTTGGAGCTGATATTTAAGATTTCAGTAGCGCTGGGATTCTTCATTCCCTTCAAGCGTTAATTTTTCCATGCTCTGGGTGGAGACCTGCAACTCCTTTCTAGTCACAAGTTTTCCCCAGTCCTCAGCCCGTTACCAGCCCTCTGAAAATTGGAGGTACTCATCCCAGGTTTCTCGTCTGGCATCTGTCCGTCCCTGTCTGTGACTCAAGGCGGCTTGAATCCGGTTGGGCTAATTATCCCCTTGCCAGCCCTCCCTCCCTGATCTGTATAGACATGCAGATGAGGCTGCAAATGCTTTCGTAACCCTTTGAGTCCTGCTGCAGTGTGCAGCCAAGAGCCATCGCCCTGAAGACTTGCTTCGCTTTGTGTCTGGACTGGTCTTTCACTTGCCACAGACTCGGACCCTTGATCTCTGTTAGTGACCCTAAGCCTATCACCGCTAACTTATTATGTGAATTACGGTAATGTCTAGTGGTCCCGATCAGTTTTGGGGCCCTATTCTGTGGCTTGCAGTCTAAAAAGAAAAGACAGACCAAGGGTGGGAGAAAGGAAGTCTTATTTCCATTGACAGGTTTCAGAGTAGCAGCCGTATTAGTCTGTATTCGCAAAAAGAAAAGGAGGATTTGTGGCACCTTAGAGACTAACCAATTTATTTGAGCATAAGCACTTTATGCATCCGATGAAGTGAGCTGTAGCTCACGAAAGCTTATGCTCAAATAAATTGGTTAGTCTCTAAGGTGACACAAGTCCTCCTTTTCTTTTTTCTTATTTCCATTGAGACAGACCTGTGGCTCTGAGGCAGTTGCCCAGGCTCACCCAGGAAGTGTGTGACATTTGCCAGTTGGGCTCCAAAAGGCCTGGATCACTTGATGATTCCCTGTTCTGTTCATTCCCTCTGGGGCACTGAGCTAGATGGACTTTTGGTCTGACCCAGTATAGTGGTTCTTATGTTCTGCAAATACTCAGGGCCTGGTTTTGTGTTGCCCTTCTCCCACGGTTTACAGCAGACAATTCAGGAGTGAAACGCTGCCTAATCAGAGGTGGTAGTCCTTTGCACTCCCTTTGGCCTGGCGTTAATGACACGTACCAAGTCTGGGATCTTAGAGCCGCCCATTTCAGGCATGTTTCAGAGGAGTAGCCGTGTTAGTCTGTATCCGCAAAAAGAACAGGAGGACTTGTGGCACCCTAGAGACTAACAAATTTATTTGAGCATGAGCTTCCGTGCGCTACAGCTCACCTCATCGGATGTGATCCTGTTGAACTCAGCTGCGTTCCTCGCAGGAGTAAGCGTTTTCAGCCCTAGACAGTTCCCCGCTGCTGGAGAGGGCGCGTGTCCAAGCCGTTCAGAACTGACGCTACAAGCTCAGTGATTTAGCGTAGCCGCATGGACAGGGCAAGAAGCAGCCTCCTCTGAAACCCCCCACGCTGCCCACTTCCATTAATTTGCATAAGTAATCGATGTCTTGTTAACGGCTCATTACTCTGAAACTGAAAAACATGTGGTTAAAAACTTCCATTCAACATTGGGGAATTTTTTACAGGCAAATTATACTGAAGATGGTGAAGGGAGAAACTGACCAGGTTTAAAATTACAGCTCGGAAAACAACTGCCTTGGAAACCCACCCTGTGCCGATCACCCATTTTTAGATCTGCAGATAAAGCAATCAAGAGGTTAATTCCCCCCCCCCCCCCAGCCGCTGATGAAATCTCCCTTTTGCAGGATTTAATTTCATCTCCTTTCATCTCCTTTCTTCGTTGCCACACAAGCGTTTTACCAGTTTTGTCTCTCCTCCCTCGTAAAGCCTTGCCTTAGAATGCCAGATTGCTCCTTTGGCTAGACTGTCCGTGAGAGAAATATATTCTTTCCTATTAATGAGAGGCGATTGCAGGCTTGAAGCCCTCTACTGTATTTCTCTCTCTGCTGCTCTGAGCACCTAATCTCTTCCTTGGGCTAGCTTGTGTGGGAAAAGATTTACCCTTTCAGGAAGAAAGGGCTTTGAGAGTATCAAAGACTTTAGAGTGGAGGGGATGAAGGTTCATTATTTGATATCTATAACTAACCCACACAAACATTTAAAGGGCTGCTGTCAAGGTAGAAATAATTGCCAGACAACTAGTGATTGAGTGCCTTGGTGTTTCTTGTTTTGTTTTGTACTCAACTTGAGATGCCTTTAAAGGGGTCTGAATCTTTCTAAGGTGCTCAGTAAGTTCTGCAAATTGGGATGCCTTTAAAGGTATCTGATTTTGGGTGCTTAACATTGCTAGTCACTGCCCTCCCTTCCCCAATCTTGGCCAATTTGTTTAAAGTGCAAATCTGTTTGGCAAAGTGGTGTACAAACAGCACGTGATCCCTCATCTGATCTCCCCCTCCCCTGGGTGTATTGGAGTGAGAACTGCTCGCTCTAGTGCCAGGAACAGGTGGCTTTTCATTGTGACAGTCCTGCCTGCCTGCTAGCCCAGTGAGCCAGCCTACCTCTGGGGGCTCGGTTCTCCTCCTGGTGCATCAGCAGCAGTTTGCCGAGTGCAGTCATTCCACTTATGGCAGCGCAGCTGTAAAGCTGTGCCCCAGGCCCACAGAACCCATATCGCTAGTGACAATGTGCGAGGCGGAAAGACACCCGGGAGACATCGTCAAAAGCACCCAGGTCAGTGGGACTTAAGCACTTCAATTGCTTAAGTATGTTTGAAAAGTTCACTCCCTCCCCCCTCCGCTGGAGTCATAAGAGCCAGTGTGAGTTTGCAGAGCTGGCAGGTTGGGGGAGCAGAGGGGATGCCCCTCCAGATCCTTTTTACTTGCAAACTGACCTACGTCGTAGACTCCAGGAACCCACCTTGCCACTTCCACTGAATTGCTTTTCAGAGTAGCTCTGCGCTCTGTGGGCCTAAACTTCCCAGTCTCCTGCGCTGCGTGCTGCCGCTTACCTCCACGGCAAACTGGGTGTAAAGTGCTACCAGGGGTTTTGCAGTAAGGCTGTGTCTGCACTCGCAGTGCTGCAGCCGACGGCAGGCATTCTTCCATCGCTGTAGCAAATCCACCTCTCTGAGAGATAGGAACTGGGTCGACGGAAGGATTCTGTCCCACGGTCGGGAGATTCAAGCTCTGGTGTGAATCTGTCTCTGTGCCAAACGCTGTTGGGATTAGAGAGAATCTCGTTTAAAGCACTAATGATAAAAAAAAAAAAAAAGTTACTAAATTTGTCAGCCCTCCGGGGAGCCAGCTGGATGTTATTTCTTTAGGCTTGGGTCTTTTTGCAGGCGCCGGAGCAGAAGGGGGACTTGAATGCCCTTGCCAGGGCAGCCCTGAATCTGCTGCTTACCAGCTTGCGGGAGCAGTTTGAGTTGCCAATGTGAAGCTAGCTATGAAATCTCATTGGCTGAGGCTGATGTCTTGGAGGGATCTCCACTGGCCCCTGCCTGAACAGCTGCTAAGGAGCAGCACTTTGCTCTCGCTTTCCTCCTGGCCCGGCTCTTGGTGTCTGCTTGGAACTCTAGGGAGTGAGTTTAGAGGGGTCGCCGCAGGGGGATGTTGGTGTATGGGGCGAAGGAGGACAGGTCAGTGGTGAGAGCATTAGTTTAGCCATTGGGGCACTAGCCTCGGAAGATGCAGGGTTAATTCCCTGCTCTGCCACAGACTCTTTATATGACCATATCCAAGTCACTTAGTCCCTCTGTGCTACAGTTTCCCATCTGTAAAATGGGATAATAGCTCTGCCCTCTCTCCTAGGGGTGTTAAGGATACATACATTAAAGACTGTGAGGTGCTGAGCTACTCTGGTAATGGGGGGCCAGGTCAGGATTGTAGCTAGCTAGATCCTTACCTGTCTGCTGAACTGGAGCAGGACCCGATGAGCCTCGTAGTCTTGGTTTCTTGAACTGCTGTGTTAAGGAAGAGGCCGCTGCTGTCTGCTCTGTTTTGATGGCATGGGCTCCTGAGGCAGAGGCTGCTGCAGCCCTCAGCTGTGCAGACTCTGGGTACTCCATTCCCATTGCTTAGATGGCGCCTTGCCCTCGGGAGTGCTGCATAGGACCCTTCCTTGGTGGAGGATCTGTTCCTGCCTCCACCGAGTCGCTCCCCCCAACTTGCAACCTACTGGGGGTTTGGTCTGCTCACGGCTCTCTTGGCGTCCCCGCAGGCCTGCATGAGATCGGCCTCCTCAGCAGCTCCAGGCAGGATCAGCCTCTCTGCCTCACCTCTGACATCTCCTGCAGCTGTCCTCTGCCTGCGTACTCCCCCTGCAGCGGGGACCTATCCCCTCACTCTTCTGCTTGCTGAATCCCTCCCTCCCTCCTTTTTTGCTGCTGACGTCCCTGGCTAATGTAGAATGATGCTCAGCCCACAAGTGCAAGGGCTGTTACCATGCCTATAGTGAAGATATTTCAAATCTAGGCTGTGATGTTATCAGCTAAAAATGACTTTGCAGCAAATTGATGTGTGTGTGTGTGTGTAAGCAACAGAATGTGTCGCTCCAGAATAAAATGCAGTGATGTCTGTCTGTCTTTCTTTCTTTTAAACTATAGTTGCTTAATTAAGTCTCCTCTGGATATTAGCAACCCAGGTCAGTGGGATGAATGAAAGCATCTGAATGCTTTCTATGGTTTGAGCCTTTTGTGCTAATGCATCTCATTGGGACAGATTCCCGGAGCCAAGTGGCTAGCGAAGATCTTTGCTTGGAGGACCTGGGAGGCATATATAGGGTGAATACTGTGACCTTTGCCTCTCTTGATTGCATAGGGACACAGGGATTGCCATTTTGGATCAGACCCATAGTCCAGTATCCTGTCTCTGATGTTGGCCAGCACCAGATGCTTCATAGGAAGGTGCAAGAGACCCCCTCCTCTCCCAATAGGCAGATGGGCAACTTGCCTTCTTTGAGGCTCTTCCCAGTCCCCAACAGAGATTTGGTTTAACCCCTGAAGCGTGCGGTTTCACTCTGTTAGCACTAACCATTCTAACTCTGGATATTCTCGTTATCCACACAAACATCCGGTCCCTCTTTGAATTTTGCTAAATTCTTGGCCTTTGTGACGTCCTGTGACAGTGAGTTCCACAGGTTAATTGCACAGCGTGAAAACTATTTTTTCCGTTTTTTCCAGTATGAACTGGCCACCTTTTCAATTTAGTTGAATATGTCGCCTTGTTCGTTTGTGTACTTTTATCATGTCCCCGCTGACTGGTGGTGATCTGGACTCTGCTTGAACTGCAAGGAGACTATGTCCCGTGGGATTTTCCTTGGTGATGATCATGTATCCTCTTATTCATCTCCTGCAAACCATCCCAGTCATTTCATTCTCTCCTCCTATGAGAGTTTTCCTAGGCTCCTCTGGGTGGATGTGAGCTTCACAGTTGGCTCAAGACTGGTTCCAAGAGGGATGGTGGGGGGCTGATAGCACAGAGGTAGCTTGTACACAAAGCCGGGAGGAGGGATGGGAACTCGGTGGCTGGACATTGGGCTATTAGTGCTGACGGATGTTATCCTCGGTGGCTGGCAGTTGGAAAGTAGCAACGGTCCTGGTGTGGGATGGGCAGCCGGTTCTGATCCCAGTTAATTGATGCCACTCCACTGATTTAGACAGTGCTGCTTAGGACTTATGTTAGCCTGCTTGAGCTCTGAATCTGGCCCACGCATTCCTGCTCTGGATTGACACCACCTAGCTGTCCGGGGTCTGAACCTGGCCGGCCAACTCTTGCGTTGCTCGCAGTGAGGTGGATGAACGGTTTAATCAGCGGTGGTTTATATCGCTGCGTGTAAAAACAAGGAGCGCTGCAGAAACGAATTGCGCCCCTGGAAGTTGGCTCCCGACCCACCCACCTGCCCTGCTGCAACTGCGGTGACGGGGGTCACACACGGTCAGATGCACTGTCCTGTGTGGCAGGTTGATGCCTTTCTGTGCAGAGTCCCTCGCTGGCTGCCTTCAAAAATGGGGTCTCACCCTAGATGGGCCATTTCTTCAGCTGTGGCAGGACAGTTCATCGGTATCCCTAACAGCTTTATTGATAAAGCTTGATATAAGCGGCTCTGTTCAGACCTCTGCCTACAGAGAGCCATTTGCCTTGGCTGAGGTGGAGGCATAGATGGAGAGCATGGTCTCGTGCCCCCAGTACTAATATGGTGGGATGGGGGAGTGTTGCTCCCACCCGGTTTTGTCCTGTGGGGCTGGGTTGTGCTGTCAAGGAGCTTCTCTGCCTGGGCTTGGTGCTGCATTGTTATGCCATGTCATTGTGAATTGATGCAACCCCCATGGCAAGTTGCACAACCAGCGTTGTGAAATGTTACAACACCAAAAATAATAATAGCCATAGACAGCTTTCGCCCACAGATATCCCAAGTGCTTGATAGGTGTTCACCACACAGGCCTTGCAACCCTGTGTCAGTATAGGTATAGACCAGGGGTGGGGTGGGAGTGATTTGACCAACGGTCACCCACCAAGTCAGTGGCAGAGCTGGGAATATGTCCAGGAATCCTGGCTCCCTTTCCCCTGCTCTACCTACTGCCACATGCTGCCTTTTGGTGCACTGCGTTCAGGATTCCACTCTGGAGGACGCACCCTTGGATTTTGGGATCGAGGTTGAGCTGACTGCAGTGCTATGGAGGAATTCCCTCTGCTGCCGTCCTTGGTCCATCGGATGGGGCAGATGCCTTAGTGAGATGCTGTCTGCTGCAGGGGAGTGTGTTCGGTGGCCGGTCCGCTGCTTGAAGAACCAGCAATGAGCTAGCACTTCTGGCTCACTTCCTTTACCCTCTCGGGGGAGATGCCGCAGCTCTCTGCCCCGATAGTGCTGCAGGGGTCAGGAATACAAGGGAAACTACCCGGGAGTTTCAGGGAGCTGAGTGCAGTGGCCCAGCTGGACTCTACGCTGTGGGAAATCTTGCTGACGTAGAAAGGCTGTGTGTGGTTTGGGTGCCAGGCTGTCACATGAAAGACCTGGGTTCTAGTCCCGGTTCTGCCACCAACCTAGGGCAGGTCACTTCCTCGGTCTGTGGCTCTGTGAAAAGCGTGATCAGAGTGGAGGGCTTGAGAAAGGTGCCACGGGGTCCGTAACAAGCCTGCCAGGGCTTCCCCATGTCAGCCTGTGGCCGTCACAGGGCTCACCGCGAGCACAGCCCCTCCTGCAGCCAGCATCAGGCTGCGATACAGAGGGATGAATGCCTCCTGCTGAATCCCACCCCACTGCCTGCTGCACCTGGCTACTCCCAGGAAGGTTTCCCCATCTAAGCGCTGATCCTGTTGGACGTAATTGAGCCCAGCCAGAGGAGGGATATGGCCATGTGAGAAGCTGGGCACTGTGGGGGAGAACGCTGAGTTGCCACTCAAGCATATGGGGCAAAGGGGTTTAAACGTTTGTAGCTAGCCCCCTTGCCTGTGATGGGCCGAGCCGGCCCCTTGGATCCGGCCTTCCCAGAACTTTGGGGGAAGTTCTGATCAGGATCCACACGCTATCTACATGAGTGCAGCCACTCAAGGGCCGTATATGTCCCTATATGTATCCATGACCCTGGACCTCCAAGGAGCAAGCAGCCTTGCATGCCACAAAGGGCAAGCTTGCTGGAGTTGGGCACAACTGGACGAGTGATACCTGCAGCCCTGCCCGGGTACAATAGGCTGAAACCTCTGCCTTAATTTGCCTTCTTTGCAGAAGCCCTGTGTTCTTGCAGAGAGGGTGAAGCTTGTGCCAGCCGTAATGGATCTTTAGGAGCTGAAGCGGGGACGCTGCTCAATGCATGCTCTTTCTTTGCCTCTCATTCCAAAGGGAGAGGGGGCTTTTCAACTGCGGGTGTATTGTGAACCGCTGCTAGAGAAAGGGAATAGCTTTTTCTTTGGGAGGTCATTATTGATTGGGGGGGAAAAGGTGAAGCCCTGCTACTTTTGGGATCACAGCAGGAGGATCTCTGGCCTGCTCCCAAAGAAACACCTCTTCCCCCCTTCCCCCCCAAGAGACACAGTGTCCATTCACCACCATCCATTTTCACTGTTATTGCCCTACAGCCTTTCTCATTCTAATGAGAGCGGCTTGGCTATGCTGAGAGGCTGGTTAATGGTAAGCTCCCTGGTCAGCATGCAGAAGCCTTGGGAACACAGAGGGCCATGCAGCTGGCCAAAGAGGAACCTGAGGATTGCCACGCTGGCTCAGACCTGTGTTCACCTGTTGTCTGGTATCTTGTCTCTGACAGGATCCAGCGCCAGCTGCTTCAGAGAAAGGTGCAAGAGACCCTGCACCAGGCAGTGAGGGGATAACCTGCCTGCAGGGAAGGATTCTTTCTGGCCACTGGTAGTTAGAGCTTGGCTTAGGCCCTGCTGCATGGGGGTTTATAGCCCTACCAGATTAGTTGGTTCTGTTTAGACCATGCTGTTGTAACTGTGAATGCTCTTGTTATCCATATAAATGCCTAGTCCTTTTAAGGACCTTGTTAAGCTCTTGCCCTCCGTAAGCTCATGTGGCAGTGAGTTCCACAGGTTTACTAGGCAATGTTTGTATGGATCCAGGTCCTTTTAAAATGAACGGGTTTTCAGTGCACGTGGCTCAATGGAGGGGCAGATTTTCCATCCAAGCAAGAATTGCTTGTCCTTTAGTCTGATCAATTCTGACCTGGGAGGGGCAGAGATCCTTGCTCTTGACATACATTCTTGGTACTCAGAGTGCAGGCAGAGGGGCAAATGCAGCTTGGAGAGACTTGAAACATGCCTGGCCTTCCCCTGTAACTAGGGCCAGGGCTAACCTTCTTGGGGTGAGACCAAATGGAGCAGTGGTTAGAGACAAACCCTTGGTACCAACACCCCCGAAACTTTGGCGAAGCAGGGGTATGACAGATTCCAGATCTGAATTTCACAGCATCCTCCTAACCCCCTGTAATAGACTGTTCTGAACCCCCTAGATCCTCGTGCCCTCAAATGTAGGGGCACTTGCAATCCAGATTTTGCTCCGTATCTTTGGGGTCCTCTTATGTAATAGGGGCTCTCAGGTGCACTGTGTCACGCAAAGCAAAGCGGCCGCTAGCAGATATGTGATATTATTTAAATTACCATAGTGCTTAGGAGTCCCAGTTATGGACTAGGGCCCTGTTGTGCCAGGCGCTGTTCAAACACACCCTCTCTAACTACAGTAGGTCTGCCTTCCATTTGCTTCAATAGGAATTGCACCTGCATGTGCAAAAGATACATATAAACTTGTGTTCTGTTGACTGCAGAGTTCAACCCGCAAACAATTCCTTCAGCTTTATGGAGGACGATACAAGCCTGGGCAAATATTATGAGTCTGGGCATGTTGTTTTTGCCTATGCATTTTTTAATACAATGCAATGTATTTAACAGCTGCTGTTTATACAGAACCACCAGTGCACAGAATTACTTATGCACAGTGGGTAGGAACAATACGGCATTCTCTGAGTAGGGCATTATGTTGATGCATGCAAATGCACACAAACATAGGTGCTGTC